CAGAACATTAAGGGAAGAATACTGAATATGTCATTAGTGCTAGATAATATCATGGAAGTTATGAGAGCGTCCGGGGAAGAAAAAGAATTGAACCAACCAAAGGGAACTGAAAATGTTCAAAAGAATAACGGCTTATTTCGAAATACATGTAACATGCCCTTCTATCAGAGAATGTCGCTAGTCATTTTCAGCTACATAATGGCTTTCAACACTTTCTTTTACTAAATGACTAGTTCTTGAAACTTCCTGCTAAAAAACTAATAAACAAAAAATAAAAAGTGGCACATGGCTCATTCACTTGCCGATGTGTAGGTTTAGAAACTGTCTCAGAGCCAAGACCAGTGAGAGACCACTCCGGTCAGTACGAATGTGCGTGACAATTTTTATGTCGTAGTTATCTACTTAGAAAGCTGACATCATCACGAGACATGGTGTTTATTTCAAAACTGTTACAGACCTGCACAAAGCTCAAAAACAACGTTTAAAATACATTCGTTCCTTTTTTTTCGGTGGCTATTTGTGAATCTGGTTTCTAGAGGAAAAGTAATTAGCCGAGCTGCATGGTCATCATTCAAGCATGTTTTTGACCTCCTTCAATTGCGTCATAAAGGGGCTTGTGGTCTCACGAGATCAGACTTATTCACAATGCAAGCTTCTCTATCTTTTCTAATGAAGAATAGCAGATGAAACATGATACAAAAATGTCCTCGACGTGGGATCATCAATTTCTCCTAAAAATATCCGCAATACATCTATGAGAGAAAAGTTACAGGAGATCTGCGTTGGTTTGTCTTCGAGGCTCTAGGACAAGAAGAGTGCCATGTGACATTAAGAATGTTGATATCGACGTCGAAGTTGTTGAAGGAGCCATTAAATCGGACTATTGATGTGTTTCCTTACTTCATATATATCTTTTTATGTCATTATTATTATTACTATTTTTTTTGTTTTTAGCAGCTGAAAGACACTTTTGAATTTTAGAGGTTGACAGTTTTTTTTTTTATTGAAATGAATGTTTTTAATTCGAATAAATTTTTCTTAGTTAAATTAACTTTTTTTAAGCTAAATTAAGTGCTTTTTAAATCGACAGGAATTGTAAATAGTGTTCTTGAATGAATAGTTTTTTCTTTTTTTTAAGCGAATTAATTGTAAATAGGATTTTAATAAAAATATAATTCTCTATTATTATTATTATTATTTAAAGTTACGGGCGTTTTGAAAAAAATAATTAAATAATTACTAAAGGAAAAAAGTTTTGATCTGTTTTGATCAAATTCTCTCCATTATTTTTTTTTTCCAAGGAAATGTATGGAGATCAGTCTGGAGGCTAATCTGTATGTGGATATAGGGCCCAAGAGGTTAAAAGTAGCTTTGACTCACTGTTCGTTTCTCTGCATGTGTCACGATTTGGGCTTTTACGGCTTCAAGTGTTGCTTTACTAGAGATAGACTACGTTCCCTTGTAACGCAGTGAGATGTTGAAGGATGGAAATATTTTACCCATGAATCATGTCAGTTTCGTAGGGTGTGTTACCACTTAAGTGGATAGCTCATAGGAACAGTGATTTCGGCGCGATTTCTGAAACGGAGCGAAGCTGCGAAACGCCGATCTCGAAAGTAGAGCGTCAAATATCGGATAGGTTCTGAGCCACATTTTTTGCAGAGTGAACAGGCTACAATCCTCGTCACATTAGTTGGGACAGCTGGGATGTTTTCTGCCCTCCCAATTTTGGTTTTTGCGAGTTGGTTACAGAAGCCTGAACGCGAAATTCAACAATGGAAGGTTAAGAAACACAACTTTTTGCTGGAATATGTGTGCGGCAAAGGATGTCCCAACTTAACGTGACGAGGATTGTAGGTATTCGGACCGAAGCGGAAGTGATTAAGTAAGAACGAGGACTGAAATTTGAAACGGAAGTTAATATTCGGGAGTGGGGAGTGAGGACTGGAACTAAGTTCACCAATCCCTATCGGCCCACCACTCTGTCTCCATGTTCGATGTGTGTGAATGACTTGTTTCAGTTCTGTGCCGAACTTTCCTTTTTGTATACATCGGATAGCTTTTGGTGTCGGCACGTAAAGCTGTTAGGTATAGTGTGAAGATAGCCTTACTGTAGAACCTTTTTCTTTCTTAAAATTCAAGAACAATGCCGGCAGGACTTGAAGCATTTTTATTTGAAGCAGGTGTTTCTCGTGGGTGGGGAACCGGAATACAAATAAGCCTCAAAAACTGAAATTAAAATCGCCTGAATTACGTTTGTTTGCTGTTATTGAAGTCATCATATCGATCAGCTTTGGAACCCGTCAGTTGGTTTAAAATATATACATAATTACAGCCTGGTCACCCAAGCTTCTGTGGTCTGGCTTTCAGCGCACGAGAGAGTTTTGCTTCGTACAGCGTTTCACTCGTTGGCGACAAAACTTCATCAACACTTGTCCAAATTTGTAAGTGAACGGTTTTTTTCCTTTATTTTAAAAATGTTAAATTTGAAACATAGATTAATCGTGATCGGTGCATACACAAAACTGCCTTTACGACCGCCATGTGTGTATATGCTGCAATTTTCGGACAGTGAAAGACAATCACTGGTATACAGAAAACAATTCTTAGTCTCAGTCTTATAATAACGTTTTTTCCGGCTCGCCCAAGGTACAATGATATTTTTATTGTTGCTGCTATTTTGAGCAACAAGATGCCATTGCAGATGTTCTTTCTCTACAGCAGGGGAAACAAACTAGTTTGATCGTATCAATGTATAAACTTCGCTTAAGCTAAGACTAAAATACCTAAAGTTAGGATTCATCAATGTTATCAATGATAAAATAAATCCACGCCTGATCACGCATGATTGAAGGAGCCCATAACCAGCATAAAGATATTCATTAGCTGAAATTTCCATGAAAGGGCTAAGAGGGCTTGGCCTTTCTCAGGTTGGTAGATTTTACTGAAATACATGTAAAACGATATCTGTTTGACAGTTCAGAACAAAGGCAGTTGCTTTTTGTTTGTCAATTTAATCCGACGTTTCATTTCTTTTTATTCATCTCTTTTAATATTTTTGGACAAAGTTTTGAGCAATCTTCAATTCTATAGATATCTCTCATCGTTTCATGTTGTATCAAAGTTATCGCAAAATCTCAACGGCGTCCAAAAGGCGTCCTGTTAAAAAACTGAGGTTCAAATTAGAATCTGTAATTTCCGGCCATTCCACTCGGACCACTTATAAGAATCGCTGGGTCAAGAGAAGTGACAAAACAGGGCAAATTAAAATACAAAACGTGTATTTTAATCACATAATAATCAAATATTTCACTCGTTGCAAAAGTGAAAATGACTTGCTCTTACAGAATTGAAATACGTAGCCTAATTTTTAAGGGAAAAGTTGGAAGGACAGAAGGAAACAAATCGTGTAACTGTCCGAAAGATTGTGGCTTCAAATGAAATTTACCTGAAAAAGAGTTTGAAAAGTGTCGAAATTAACTGACATATCTTGATCAAATCTATGTTTATCGAAGCGGGAGCATCAAAGCCAGTACTGAACAATGTTTTGAAGGTATACACTGGTCTATGTATTCAGCAATAGTTTCTGTCCAAACATACAATACTTTCTTGAAAGCTCTGTAAATCTTACTTTACCGCAATG